ACAAATTATAATTAATACGACGGAGCAGGGAAACGAACACACCTAACTCCCGATTTTTAAAAAAGTGCGTGTAACATTTGCAAGCTGTCAGGAGGATAAATGCTAATGGGACGTGGCAGCTGGGCAAAAGGAGAGACTACTCAGTTCTGCGAGGTTGGTAAAAGGATAATTTCACTTCTTATTGCTTATGGTAAACCTTTTTGAGAACAAGCCCGAAGGATGAAATTTGTATTATTTGCCACATTACTGCATGGGTTTTTATCCAATTTAAGAAAAGGCCAAATTACACTTGTAATTCAAAAGGATCCACATGCTTAATATTGTAAAAGAGCAGAGTTAAATAACACTAATGATGCCTCCCGGGTCTTGGCCAGGCAAGTGGGGCCTAAAGGTTGCTGATGGCCGCTCAATGAACCTCATCAGCTTTTGACAGGTTGTTGCCTATGGCCACCAGAGATTTGATCGTGATGAGAGACGTCTGTGTGTTCATTATGCTGCCTGCACCACAGCCAATAGTGCCTCACTTACTCCACAGAGCTTACATTTTGAAATAGTATTTCCTTTGATTTATAGCGTAAGCAATAGAAGCGTGGTTCTGACAGCCGTCATCAATAGTTTCAGATTTCTTTTCAATCTTGCATTCCACTGTCAGAATGGCTGGGAGCTTTTTCAGTTCGGGTAATAGCAATTACTGTAGCATTTCATTGCAGACCAATATATTAAACCACTTTTTTTTTACGACTGGATTGGTTTAAAAAAAAAGTTGGTTGCTGGCTGTTACAATATAATTTGGATTAAATTAAAATACGCTTTGCAAAACATGGTCATTCATCTTACGTGAGTCAGACTGGATCTTAAGTGAAAGAGATGCAGTTTTAAATCTCGACAGCCCACACGATCATTTCTGCACTGTCAATGGATATGAAACGCCTGCACATTTTAACTGGCGCTGAGAATTTGATCAGCAAAAGTATCTGTTCTGCTTCCACATATGTTACCCAAATGTAAAAAGCTTAAATTAGCAAAAATGAAGTGCCTGGTGTGGATTTAAATAAAGCCTCAATAACATCTTCAACCTTCCTCCCCCCACCCTGTCCAACAAATAAAAATTCATTGGAATAATTTCAGTTAAAATTAGCCTCTACCCTGAATACAAATCCTGGCTGCTTTTCTTAAGGAATATAATTTTATTGTACAACAGACACACAGGGATCATTCATTCCCACCCTCTCCCCCGGCAAATAAGATGGGGTTAAAAAAAACAGCAATAAACCAAATAGGGCAGTACATCATTTTATTTTCTAATAAAAATCACTATAAGAAAGCAGAGGGGAGGCAAGATTTTTTATTCTTTTTTTTACACTGTACTCACTAAAGCATTTGATGGTAGTTGTTGCTGTGCATTGATCTGTGTAATAACAGCTGTGTGGGAACACCTAATGCAGTTTCTTCAGAACAACAAAAGGATTTTTTTGAGAAGCGTCTCATGCATTTTTNCTCAGCTGTTACCAAGTTTACTCCATTTGCTGCTGATGCTCTTTCCCAGTTGTGCTGCACACATTGTCTCCACGGAATCGCCTTGCCTCAGCGCCAGACGAACATTGACCACTGTGCGAGTGAAACCTCTAATCTCTCCAGATTTGTGCCATGGGGTCTTTAATCAAACGACATAATCTTTATCATCACTGGCACACGACCTCAGTTTAACGCCTAAGCCTGAAGGTCAGTGACTCCACAGCACTGACCCCCACAGCACTGTGAAGGGCATCAGCTTGAGCCATGAAGTCAAGTCCCTCAGGTGATTCTTGACTGTTTCATTCAAATGGAATCTGAGATCCTAGCTCATATGCACACCCCGTATATCGGTAAGGAGCACGTCTGCTCAGCTCTTGGCCTTAAATCACTTAGGCTCCCCCGATTGCTCAGGGTGTAAATTCACTGCTCAGTTTGGAACAATATATAATAATCCTTGCATTTGATATAGCGCCTTATCACATCGTTGAGACGTCTCAAAGCGCTTCACAGGATTTACTGTAAAATTGTCTGATTTTGGGAAAACGTGGCAGAGAATTTGCGCACAAGTGTCCCACAAACAGGCATGGAGCAAATTATTAATTTTTGGGGGGATTGTTGGCCAGGACACCGGGAGAAACACCCTCTTCTCTTTTCGAATAGTGCCATTAGATTTTTAATGTCCACCTGAACAGGTAGACTGGACCTCGGTTTAATGTCTCAGCTGAAGGACGGCACCTCCAACAATGCAGCTCACCCACAGCACTGCATTAGAGAGGCAGAAAAGACTAAACGGGTTCAAGTCCTGAATTTGAATCTTCTGATTCAGAGCCAATAGTGCTACCAACTGAGCCAGGCTGATACCAACGATATCCATGGCAGATATCAATGTATTTTAGAGAAAACGTGATGTGTATATGAGGAAGATGGGAATACAGGGGTTTAACAATTTTTTTGTTCAAAATCCTTGCATTTGCTATAGCACTGTATCACGTTTTCGAGACGTCTCAAAGCGCTTCACAGAATATGCTGTAAAGTGAACTGACTGTATATTTTGTGAGCGAAACGTAGCAGCCAACTGTGCACAGCAGTGTCCTACAAACAGTCATGGATTGAGTGACCAAACCGTGTTCCTACTTACTGCTAAGTAAACAGAGGCGTGTAAAGTAAGGAAGCTTGCCTAACGTTTTGCCCTGCCCGAGAATCGTTTTGATTGAGAATCGTTCCTCTCGCCTGTGAGGCGAGTGCTCTAACCACTAAGCTACAGGACTCCACCAACAGTTTATACCAACAGTATAAAGTGTTGGTACAAACACCAGTACAGACTAGTGAGTCTGAATGGACTTTTTCCGTGCCATCAAGCTCCCTGCACGCTACGCTGCATGAGGGATGCTATATAAATGCAAGTTGTTATACAACTCTCTGTAAGACAACAATCCTAGGTAGGACCGGTCTGGGTTGAGTTAGCTAACCTCAGCTCCACCCTTTACATGCCTAGTCTTTGGAAAGAGAACTGTACACGTTGCATTTTCGGTTAGTAATTCAGTACTTGAAGACATTGAGTGTTGGGTACATCAGTGGGTTTTAAAGTCCAAATCCCCCTCCCCCCACATTTATATAAATGGACATTGCTCGGGATGTTTACTACATCTTCACCGTCTCTGGTATAAATAAAGCCATTTTCATTCTGAACAGTCGGGCTCTTTTTCATGGTTTAGCAAGTGAAAGAGATACAGAACAATCCTGCTGAGTCTGATTGAATTTATCTCAAGAAGCACCTTCAGTCCCCAACTACTAAACAGAAGAGAATGATAACAGCACCGTGGGGCTCACTACTGGGATGTAATTGCTGAAAAGAAAATTCTTTCATGAAAAGGTCATGAGATTACATCCCACACAGCAGATGGGGCTGCGGTGTCTGTGAAAGCTGTTTAATGTGAAGGAGTGGGTGAAAGTCTACAACTGATTCAGCAGAGATGACAATGAGCTGCCAGAGAACTGGCTCACACTCCCTCACCACAGATGGGTTAAACTTCCCCCAGAAATGTTAGCACTACCATAGCCACCTGGCACAGCGAACAGAACTGGGGGGGAAAAGATGGCCACTTTAATAATAATCCTTATCACTTCTTTGAGACGACTCAGAGCGCTTCACAGAATATATTGTAAAGTGAATTGACTGTATACTTTAGGTGGCCAAGTTGTGTTAGATTTCAGGTGAGGTACTGCATGACAAGGATGTGATGAGAAGTCTGTGGTTGGAGACGAGTGAAGAAGGAAGATACTAAAACTAGCTTTCCAAACTAACAGATACATCACCAATCGTGTGATGATCAACAATCAATCACAGCACAGCACTGAATGCAGCCATTGAGAAACTGCAGCTCAGCCCAGGATGAAGGAAGGTCTGTGACTGACGGGAGAGTTGCAATATTAAAATGAAGCATAAGCAATCTAGTTCATGACACGCTGATAAAGCCGTCAAGTCACTTCTAATATTATTTCTTCAGCTTCAATTTTGAGATTATATCAGATCCATTCTTCACCCAATTATTCGGTGCTTTTTCACGCAAGTCAACGTAAAGATCAAACTGCCTGTTGCCGAGTAGCCATTGGGGTGTTACACGAAGGCAATGCCACTGGGAGTCTCTGTTCACTGGTGTAAGGCAAAATTTTGCCTGGAAACATGGGAGTCAGCGATAATAATAATCCGTTCATTTGATATAGCGCCTTATCACATTTTCGAGACGTCTCAAAGTACTTCACAGAATGTACTATAAAGTGAATTGACTGTATATTTTGTGAATGAAACGTGGCAGCCAATTGCGTATAGCAGCGTCCCACAAACAGTCGTGGATTGAGTGACCCAATTATTATTTTTAAGGATTACCCCTGCCAATTGGAACCAACAACCTGGTTCCTACTTACTGCTTTCCTACTTAGATCAACAGAGGCGTGTGGAGTAAGGAAACTTGCCCAATGTTTTGCCCTGCCCGGGAATCGCCTACCGCTTGCGAGGCAAGTGCTCTAACCAAGACGCTGCAGGACTCCACGATGAAGATAAAGCAAAATTTTCACTATTACAAATGTTTAAGGCCTTCAGGTCCATCTACCGTTTAAACACAGCCAAACCCCAGAATGTGAATTTTTTTTATTAATCCATTAGGTCTTATCACACTGAGCACAGACTAATCCGAGACTGACTTGCACACAAGATAGTTGGACCAACCAAGCCCACTACACCAATTATATGTGCTACAAGGAAGTATAAAGACACATTGGATGAGCACTTTGTCTCTCAGTCACAAAATGCCGGGTGTATCCCGTCCGTCCAGAAGTCGATTTGATTCATTGGCGCTAAATGTAACTGAAATCTGAGACTCTGGATCTCACTGGTTTCAGGGCTTCACTCAGAAGGTGGTAAATCTTTCTCTGGAAGAAGGTTCATTCCTTTCCTCTCAGGAGATCAAATGAAGACTGCCAGGTTGTTGCATCGTGAAAGGAAAAAAGTTTATTTAAGATTTCAACTACATTTAACTACCACAAGGAAGGAAGACTTCTCAATCCAGGGTGTAGTCCAGTTAGAAAGAAACACGAAACTTTTTAATACATTATATATCACCGCCACAAATTATTTCCATGACTCAATCAGTATCAGAATTGCATACAATACAAAAAAATGGGAGAAAGGAGGGGCTCCCCGTTACACAGGGTGAAATATACAGTACCGAATACTGAATCCTGTATGTCTTACAATTTATTTTTTGCGCGTGGTTTTAGTAATGATATGACCAACATTCAAAATGATCTTCAGTATTTACAATAGTCGAACTGTGTGTGTGTGAGACTTAAGCTGATAACCAAACTTCCGTTTTTAGGATTTTTTTTAATAGTTGCCGCGGCAACCCTGATTTCGTAAAAGATCCAATGTACATTAGATTACATGAAGAAAGGAAAAAAAGTTAATTACAAGATGCAAAAAAAACAGGTAAGAAAGACAAACTACTGTGTGAATATTGTTCAGAGGTAGTAAGTGAGGACTCTAAGCTACAGAACATGTTGGGATTCTATTGGTTCATATGAGTTTGCATGAGGTAATAAAGCTGTGTCTTGATTGGTGAGATGTATAAATACTCTTTACCTACACTATTTACAGGACTCCTTGTGAACATCACCATTTCCTGCCACACATCGGCTGACGTAGCAAAGCTGAGAGTGTGTGAATGCTGCACCCAGCTAGCACTGTAAAACCCAGACTCCAACTGGCAGAGGAAATTCGGGAACAAAGCATTACAAAGGCTGGCATCGAGTTAGTGTGGAGAAAATCATAACGGTAAATAACACTCAGTTGCAATATTATGTCTCAGGAAAGACGGGCAGTTCTTCACGTCCCAGGTATATTTATACATGGGGACAATGGAACGGCTAATAAATTCCTCCGAATGAGTCTTTAGTAAATGCCGTCGTACAGTTTTGATAAAGACTTTTTTTTTATTTATCAAAATGTTGATATCCTATGATGCTCAGTAGTTCCAAGCAAGCTATCAGCTCTAGGTATCTCGCTAAAATTGTTTTAGAAAGAGAGAACAGAGTTCAGCTTTGCCAACTTCATTAATTTATGAGCCCTTGCCTGTGTACCAGCGTTCTTTTGTCTTGCAGTCAAATTGAAACATGCATTCATACCTCAAGAGGGCCAAGAAGCTTCACAATAACATCTTGCACATATAAATCTTCAAAAACATTTTCACCCATCATGGCTCCATGTTATAAATCGCTGTTGTTCCATTTTAAAGGCTGAAAAAATTGCTACAGCTAAGTGAACCTCTGTCTGAACCGCTGGCTTTAGTAAGGCAAGACTCTGCGGTATTTAATGGAAGCAAAATTGTACTTTCAAAGAGAATCTAACACGCATGCCTCTTCCTAAAGTGGAATTTTAGGTAATTTGGTTTTTTTTTCCCCACCAAACAACAGGGTTTTACAGTAAAGCAGCAGGCGACTGGGTTACAGGACATCCACTTCTCTTCTCCTACTGGTCAGTGCTAATCAAAGCCTGTTGGCTCAGGGAATGGATGTTGCTAGGAGATCAGTTCGAGGTATCAGAGTGCACACTTCCAGGTCCTTCTGTTGGTGAAGTCACAGAAGATGGAGTCGTTGCATCTTGCCATCCTCCATTAGCCTAAAAGCAAAGTTTACAGATTATACAATACACTGGGTCAGTCAAGCACAACATATTCCTTGCATTCAAATTCAAGGGAGCCCAAGAGACTCAAGTGGTTTTCCTGACAAAAGAAATATAATTTCTTAATCTACAGGCTCAGTGAAACTAGAAAACAGAGCAGTCTGAAAATGTAGGATGACCATATTAGCACAGACTGGCACAACATTCAAACATTTGAACTGTGAAAGGTAACTAAATCATCAGATTGTAACACTCAGAGACAGGTATTTTTAATGATGTCTAAACTAGTCACATTTATTACAAATGAAAGCCACATTAACACAGCTTTGTCACTCCCAATCTGCAAACCCTGTCTTTGGGAATAAATCCTCTCCAGTAGATTTATTGAAAAAAAAAGACAAATCTTCTAAACAGAATAATACGCTGCATAGTATCAAAGCAATGTAAATATTTAATCCAGTGTTTTAATGTTGAAGTCCCCTTTCAACAACAACATTTAACACATTGTGTGTTCCCAGGGCAACCAGGGAATGTGGGACAGAGGCAATGATCTCAGCCTTGGCATCAGCGGGGGGGGGGGGGGGGGGGGGGGGCGTTGGGGAGGGTGGGAGGAGAGTCTAAGTAGTAAACGTATGGAACAAGTTCCTTAGGGAGATGATCGAAACAGAAAGTGTCAAATAAGATAGATTTCTGCTAGTCAATAACATAATCATCATCTTTCCTTGCATTTGATATAATAATAATAATCCTTGCATTTGATATAGCGCTTTTCACGTCGGGAGGACGTCCCAAAGCGCTTCACAGAACACACTGTAAGGTGAATTGACTGTATATTTGTGGGCGAATGCGGCAGCCAATTGCGCACAGCAGAGCAATGATATTCTGTATCTTGGGATACAGTATATAGTTTGGGACACGACATATCAAACGATGGTCAGGATGGTGGAAGGCGAACTAGATGGACCTTGATCTTCTTTTGCCAGCAAATTCTTATGTTCTTATGCACGGCTCAGCAAGAACACTGACTGACCGGCATGTCATGTGTCAGCTAGCTCAAGATTGTCAGAGATCCCAGAGCCGGGCCACCCATCCTTTGAATAGTGTGGAGGACTTCAAAAGAGGGAGAGAAAGTAAAATGCTTTTTTAAAAAATTAAAATATTGAAATAATTACCCTCTTTTAGCTAAACCTCTGGGCATGTCCGGAGGGAATGAACATAGAAATTTCCAGCCTGAAGAAGGCCATTCGGCCCATTACATCTGAGCTACTGTTTCCTTTTTTATAAACTAGTCCCACATTCCAGCTCTTCTCCATATCCCATGATATTGTATTGGTCAGGTAGGTATCCAGTTTCCCTTTGAATGATTCTATTAGATATTTCTTCCGTCACGGCATCAAGGGACCCGGGGCAATGCGGGTAATTGGAGTTGAGGGGCAGATCAACCATGATTTTATTGAATGGCGAAATAGGATTGAGGGGCTGAATGGCCTACTCCTGTTCCTATGTTCCTATTCATCGAGCCTCAGTAGCCATCTGTAGTGAATTCCACCATGTGAATGAAGAATTGACAACCTCTTCCAAAAACCTATCTTCTTCCACACCTCACCCCTACCATATTTCCTCCTTCCGACCCCCAATCTGGCATCTCCGTCCACCACTTCATGTTGCTGAGTTGTGGAGCCTGAGCAATGATGTGCATGCTCTCTCTCCTCAGCAGAGAGTGCTGGTGTACCAGCTCACTGTGTGCCTTCACAACACTGAAGATTTTACAATTGTTGATTTAACTTCAAGATATTTAATGCTAAGATGTATCACATCATATCTTTCAGTCAGTTCCCTTCAGCTAAGACTGCCTCAGGGAGCTGTTAAATGGAATAAGTGAGGTCAGGGGCAGAAAATCAGTGAGCCAGGGAGGGTTACAAACCAATACTGCAAAGTGGGGGTGGGTGAAGAGAGAAGAGAGATCGGGAAAATTGAGTGGGGGGACATCGATGACAAAACCACATCCATAAAAGATGACCAATGTCAAATGCTATTGTGAATGTGATTTGAATCGGAGCTCTTTAAACCCAAGACTGTGTTTGGAGTCCTTGATAGAGTTGGTCTGTAAACACTGTACATTTCAGACTGACAACTACCAATCATTGGCAGAATTCGCTTTTCCCTTGCCCTCATTAGAGGCACCCACACGCACACCAAGCTCCCTTCTCGAGACAGGAGAGTGGAGGAATCAGGCCTGTTGGCCAGGTACGTCTGAATGTTAATCAAAGTCAGCACAAAACCCAATGGCTTGCACAGACTGAAAAACATTGAGATGGCTCTGTATAATATTAAGAAAACCTTTTAAGTTTTAATTGTCACTTTCTCAGCTCTCTAGTTTATCTTTTCTGGATATTAAAGTTATTTTTACATTTATATACACATATAAATTTGTCACAAAAAGTGCAATTTATTACAGACATAAATAAGATCTAGCCCAGAGGGCTGGAGTTTAATTTTTTCATAGGCAGGCACAATTTTGCTAGTGGCTATAACTGTCACTAGCAAATTTCCTTTTCCACTAGCGAAACTGATCACAATCAAAGCAAGTCTGATGATCGGGATGACAAAATGAAAACTGAATCCTGAGAAGCTGAGACACTGCACTGTGGAGCTCATTAGTAAAATCTTGCAAGTGTTTAGAATACTGACTAGCAAAACCGAAAAATCCACGAGCAATTTGCCAGGCAGCCAGCATTAAATTCGAGCCCTGATTATAACCGCTGTCAGACTCAATCCCCTGGAAAGTGTTCACATTCTATGCAGACAGTATTATTTGGATTTTAGAGGCGAGAGCTCCTCAGAGGTCCCACTTTTCAAACAATATTTTTTAAGGTTCTGACTCATTGGTTCACAGACACCACTAGTTTTAACTCCTGCAGGCTCCCACACATTGAACAGATCGTACAAGGCAGGCATCATACAGGGATAGATTTCTGCTGACATAAGGAGAGCTGGCAGAAGCAAGGCAAATATTGGAAATGCTCGCTTGCAAAGACAACTGTGGTCATTTTCACAATCTGCTTTGCACAAAATGATGATACACACAACTCCACTTAGTGAATACCTATAATAATAATAATCCTCGCATTTGATATAGCGCCTTATCACATCTTTGAGACGTCTCAAAGCGCTTCACAAAATATATTATAAAGTGAATTGATTGTATATTTTATGGGTGAAACCCGACATCCAATGTCCCACAAACAGTTGTGGATTGAGTGACCAAATTATTATTTATTTTGAAGGAATTATTTTGAAGTGAATGAGGTGCAAGGCCTCCAACCCCCACCACACATTACAAATTCATAACAGTTATGTTTGTTCCTTTTAACTGAACTATCTCTGCTTGCAGTGAATACTTGTTTGCCCACATTACACAGTTCTTCAAGCTCGAATTACACAAGGTTACTCTTTGTATAACTTGGCTTTTGTCGTTTTAGCAGACTCCCAAATTAAAAGTAACAGCTGTGTAGAGCCATTTCCATTGCAGAATTTCTTGTGTTAGAATTAAAACGAAGACTGCGACGGAAGATTCTGACTGGTACCTCAGTCTAATTCATTTTTCTACAGTAATAATAATAATCCTTGTATTTGATTATAGGTCCTTATCACATTTCGAGACGTCTCAAAGTGCTTCACAGAATATACTGTAAAGTGAATTGACTGTACATTTTGTGGATGAAACGCAGCAGCCAATTTGCTCAGATTGAAACTCAAGGCACTGTGGCTTTAAAGGACTTGCATTTAAACACAGTTTAAGTTTAATGCTGCCACTATTTTACTGTTAACTGCATTCAAACCCTCCTGGATCACAAAGCCAAATAGCACAAAAGAGGAAACGGACAACAAGGGAAAGACGTGTATACATTACTGAGGTAATGGAAAATGAGTAGCGGAGGCAGGGTGATGTTTTGGTGGGAATGCAGAGTGACATTTCAAATAAAATTAACCCAGCCAGAGCAGTGACATCTCACATGACATCATTGGGGTTGGAGAGGCTTTCAGAGTGAGTCTTTGTTATCCGACCCGAACGTATCTTGCTATATGTAGCCGCGCATTTACCTCCGGTAGCACTATTCAAACGCTAACTAAAAATTCGAGCTGGCACTTGCAGGATGCCAATTATTGTTGACAAATATCTCATTTATTCACTTTGCTTCGAGCCCCCATTTCAAAGTGTATATCTTCAGTTTGCCAGCAGCCGGAAGAAGCAGCACAAAATGGCCATCGCTGGCCTACATGCAGGAGGCTGCTTTGTCGCTCTCATTAACTGTAAATTAAATGTGAATCTTGAACTGGGCCACACCACACTATCGCTGCACATAACCACTGGTGCTCCCTACATTCGGTTTGCATTGGCAATGAGCGATCCGAGGAATGAATTCTCCTGATGTCCTGGCCTGTAGAGGCAATTGTTGAAATCAATGTCTGATCAAATTTCTGCTGTGGCAGACAGCTTGTCGCTACATATTTTTATGTCAGTCAAGAAGAGGGAAGGCGCAGACCTCGTGAGTTGAGGAACGTTGAGTGAAAGTGACGGGGCAGCCCTTTCTGTAGGGGCCAATATGAGCCACATTGACTTTGAGTGCTTGCGGCGCAGACTAGCCTTTGCACAAGCCTCCCCATCGTCAAGCATCAGCAGCAAAAAAAGGTTAGCGTATGCTAATAATGGTTTATTTACAATGCGGCTAATTACCAAAGCAATCCATCTGCGTTACTGTAAAACCATAACCTATACCAGTCATGCATGCTGTCGATAAAATCTTTTAATCATCAATGCATAAAGCTGGCTCGAAGTCAAGAACCGGGTTCCTATCCTTATTTACATCACGTTATTAATGCACACCTTTTTTCTCCCTCCAGAAATAAGCTTTTGACAATCGTGCGTTAAGAAAACTAAAACTGCATCCAAATTAAACAAGTCAATTCCACAAGCACATTTGGTATTGATAATCTGCAAACACTCGGCCCTGCCTTGATAGTGGCTGTTTTTAAGACACAAATACCTTCCTGCAATACATTGAGGACAATTAGATTAGTCAGAATGGTAGCGTGTTTAAAGCAAAAGGTATTAATAGTCATTTTTTAAATCCAAATTTTAGAAGGAAGCTCAGTTCACGTTGCTTCTGTTTCTTGTAGTGTTTGAATGAGATGGAGTGTGAGGGAGATGGTGGTGCAGGCATTTACACGCTCCTGCAGAGAGCCCTGTCAAATGTATCCCTTTCATTAGAAAAAAATTAATAAAAATCGCACCACATCTATACCCTACCAGTGTGGGATAATACACTGCACTATTATATGACACCTTATCAAGCCTCATCAACTAAGATGGAATTCAGGGCTACAAAACGCTGCAGGCAAGGACACTTTCGCATTCCATCTTCCAGCAACGGATTGTGGCTAATGTGGATAGGGCCAATACTCTGAAGTACAGTATTTTACACCGTTCTTAAATCACAAACACAAAAATCTACTCTGCGACATACATCTTCTGAAGAAGTTTTCTTTGCTTAAATTAGAAAATAATTTTCTTACATATCCCACAATTCTTTACGGGAGGAGGAGGGGGGTGGGGTCTGTTCGCTAAAGAATTCAATACAGCTTTGTTTTCTCTGGGCACGGTAATCCTCTCTGCCTATTAAAAGCTGAATTAAGAAACTATAATAGTAATGATAATAATAATCCTTGCATTTGATATAGCACCTTATCACGTCTTCGAGACGTCTCAATGAGTATAGAATATATTGTAAATATTGTATATTTTGTGGGCAAAACGTGGCAGCCGATTGCGCACAGCATATCCCACAAACAATCGTGGATTGATTCACCAAATTATTATTTTTTTATTTTTGAAGGGATTATTACCCGGAAAGATTATCCACCAATCGACTAACAACCGGGTTCCTACTTACTGCTAGGTAAACAGGCGTGTGGAGTAAGGAAAGTTCACTTATAATGGCTTACACTGGCATGGTTTTAGCTTTTCTTTTTTCTTTCTACGAACACAGAAATAAAAGTGTTCCTTACGCTCAAACTGTGGGGACTGTACAGCGAATTCCCTCCGAGGCCATCACTGTAACCGCCCGTCTGATTGATAACATGACGCAGGGAATCCACCTGAAGCAGAAACAGACAGAGGAAGATGTCAGGATCGGCGTGGCAGCGCTGTCTCTGTAACAGGAAATGATCTGGTAGATTGAGATGTAAGAAAGATTGCCATACTGCCTTTTAATAAGAATAATAATCCTTGCATTTGATATAGCGCCTTATCACGTCTTCCGTGATGTCTCAAAGTACTTCACAGAATATACTGTAAAGTGAATTGACTGTATATTTTGTGGACGAAACGCAGCAGCCAATTGCACACAGCAGCGTCCCACAAACAGTCGTGGATTGAGTGACAAAATTATTTTTGTTTTTTTTAAGGGATTATTTCCCTCGGAAAAGCGATCCTCCAATCAACTAACAACTGGGTTCCTACTTACTGCTTGGTAAACAGAGGAGTGTGGAGTAAGGAAACTTGCCCAACGTTTTGCCCTGCCTTCATCATACTGGGAAACAATGCCATTTTACTGGGTTTTAAGTGTATTTTTCATGTGTGCCAATTGCATATTAATGCATTTCTTAAGAATGCCAGCGATTGATTTCTGCAAATATTGCCGTAGGCTTCATATAATATTTGCACCCAATAAATAAATAAATACCAGGCACAGGCTCTCTGCAGCCAGTCAGCACACTGTCTGTCTGTCAGTAACAATTTAATGCATCACTCTTAACAAGAGCCATAGCCATTTACTGACACTTTTTACACAAATGACCACATTGAGGATGACAAATAGTGAAAGACCACACTGTTTGCTTGTAATGTAGCCAACCACTTTAACAAATATGTTGTCCAATTTACTGCAGGAATCACGCTACTCACCTCTAGTCATTTGTTTAAACACCACATCATCAAAAGAATCATATAGAAGAGTTATTATCTATCACGAATGGCTCCCTTTCTGTCCCTAGAGCCGGCAGGTCTGCAGAGACCCCATGGCTAGTGCCAGTTCAGCACATTTTCAGCTCAGGCACTCAAAAGCATACTAATAATACAATAAAAAGCTACACAGACATCGGGAGTAGCTTTATTAGTGTACTATTAATTCAAACTCAAATTATTGCAAAAACTAAAATGGTAAAATATAAATGAGACATTTTCAAAGCATTACCCTTTCTTTACTTTTTTTCCTTCTCTACTCATTTTTTAATCTATTACTTTGGCTATTTTCACTTTACGGTCCCTCGCTTGTCTACTGTACACTTACCTGCCTCCAACCTCGGGCTCCCACTGTCCAGTTTTGAAAGGCGGGAGAAATTTGGTCTTTTTTTTACATAATCTCATTTTCATTGATGCAACACCAGGCTGACAGACTGGTTTTACAGCCAATCAAAAGCCAAAAGACCAGAGATTGAAAGGGGATTGCATTGTGAAAGGGGCTATAATAATAATAATCCTTGTAATTGATATAGTCCCTTATCACGTCTTTGAGATATTTCAAAGCGCTTCACAGAATATACTGTCAAGTGAATTGACTGTATTGACTCAGCGCCTTGGGATGTCCTCCCAACGTGAAAGGCGCTTTATAAATGTAATTTTGTGGCCATCACCTCATAGCCTAGATTTAGAGCAATCATGAACTAAAAGTGCCCACCCATCCACAGCACTCAGAGAAAGATTGTGCTCCCCAGTGTAAATACTCATCAACAGCACTCGATGGCTAACTAAACTGAGCTGGTTTGAGTTTCAGTTCTCCCATCACCACCCACTTGCAGTGCATTAATTAACATGCGAAACGTTTGTCAGGGTCTCCAAACTCCTGGAATGAATAATTGTTTTTAAAGTTGAAAGGAAGACACAGATTTTAATCAACACAAGATATGAAAAAAAGGAGAGAAAAGTTGTGAATGAATATGGCAACAGCTTACACCCATCACCAAATTCAACATTTCCCACCCGCCCCACCCACCCCTAAATGCTCAAGCCAGAGCCGACTGCATTCACATACAGTAGATTTAATATCAAACATTGAACATCACAAATAACGGACTGAAAACAATAATGGTAAATATCAAAGCAGCGGAATGGATAATTTAATTAATCTGTACTCAGGTACAGAATATTTACTGGGCTATAGGTCAGGGTAAGGCAGTTTTACCATCTAAGCCCTACCCTGCTACCTAGGCCCTAATATTGGGCATTCTTCCTACCTGTGATTGCACATTGGCTCCGACTTGGGACACTTGGTAAGAATCCCCATTCAGATTCTGCATGTTCATGAACATGTCCCCAGAATTTGGTAGGTTAAAAGAACCAGAAGAACCTGGAAAGGAAAGAGTCAGGCACCTGAATCACAGAGGGCTTAAATCTCTCCCCAAAGCTCTTTAAAAAAAGAGTACATACGAGAGAAAGAGAAATAGAGTAACAGAGAGAGGAAAGAAACAGCAGCCTGTCCGGCTGGCATACGAGAAGCATTAAGCAAACTGTCCAGACTGTTACAGAACGAGGATCTTTTTTTTAAACTCTCTGGTTCCTATGGAGAAAAATGTTAGTCAAATAATTTACAATGGCTGTAGAATACTAGAGAACGATGAAAGGGTGAGGCTGCTTCCTGAGAGCCAAGGACCTTACCTGAGAGATGAGCATGAGAGGGCCGCTAACATTTTCAGAAAATCACCACAAAGTCTTTGAATCAAATAGTAATCGTTACGTTTGATTAATTATCGAATTTAATTTACATAATATTTGTATACGGTGGAAGCAGCTTAAGTCGGACAAAACGCCCTACACACTGATGTGTCCAACTTAAGCGGCTTCCACTGTATATCAAATGCAAGGGTTAGTTATGAAGTACAAGTAATTGATGTCCTTTTGAACACAATATGCAGGAACATAATTTTAACAGTTTTTTCTTAGACCGGTTTAAGTTCTGGTGCTGATAAAATTATGCCGTGTTACACCAAGGAAGGTTGAAAATAAACTTGTAATGGTTTGTGGGGAACAAAGTGTCTGCCAGGCCCCTGTATCGAGACCCCATTGTATGGCAAGCTTACCGGAGGTGGGTGTGGTGGGAGAGTTTGCTTGACTGTTCTGAACTGCGGCTGCTACAGCGTGGGCAGCGTTGACGGCGGTTTTGGCGGCGTACAGGTTGGCTTCTTCTTGAAACTTCCCGATATTCTTCTTATATCTAATTCGCTTGTTGCCAAACCAGTTCGACACCTAAGGGGAAGGAAAATGCCAAGCGTTTAAGATATTGCCTGAGTACCCCCCTCTTTATTATTACTTCAACGTGTCAAGACTGGGTCCATCACTTTCTCAATTCCCAACTTTCCAGGCATTTCCAGTGGGCACGTAGACTAATTAAGCAATAATCAAAGATGGGTTGTGTATTGTTATGGATTGGAGCATGACAGAGTTCTGTCTGTCTCTTGGCAGAACAGATACTCAGGGGCTTACACAGCTACGACAACACACGTCTTCAAGTTTACTGATGTGATTACATTGGGAAAAAAACACCCAGAAAAAACAGCCATAACATTAATAATAGAGTAGTAATTGTCGGTGCATTAAATGCCATCTGCCAATCAAAACTGGTTATTGAGCTGCTTACAAAGTGCATTCTTTGCTTCGAGAAGAGGTAAGATGAGAAGCTCTGGAAATGCCATTGTTCTTTGTTTCTGGTCTGGAACAACCTGGCAGTATTACAATTTAAATCATGTTCAGTCAGATGAATATGAATGGAGTGATATAAATCAATAATAAATGAGCTGGTGTTTTGTATTCTCCCTTTGAACACACTATAATCAGGATCTGCACTGCCAGGGCTAATCCGCATGCATTAACCTGTGCAGGGATCCTTATAAATTGGTTAGTGATCATTTGTGCCATTCGCAATGGGGACAAAACCAGGAATGATACAGCATTTTAACTGCAAAGATCAACAGTCAACCATGGAAGAAATGAATGTTCCATGTAAATGTGTTACAACAGGTAGATTTCTACCTCATTTTGAGTTGTGCTAGGTTAACATTTTTCTTCACAACAAACTTATCAATCGTTTGCAAGGCTGTCCCTATGTATTTTGTATCATGTGAAGGTTGGGGGGACGGTGAGGGGTGGGGTTGGTGGGGGTAGAGAAGGTGGGTGCAAGACTATGGGCTCTGTAAATACCACTGAACAGTAACATGTTTAACAGCAGATGGAGAAAGACTGTTTTACTAACAAGTATATTTTCATTCAGCACCGTATGATACTCCTGAGGTCTATTTGCCTAGTGGCTCAGTGTGTGTTCACTATATAGTATGGATTACACATACAATAACAGATGATCTGGTAACTGGCGTGGGCAGAGCCACAGCAATCAAGTGAAGAAATTCCTTGTAATCGCTCCCCTGTTTCTTTTGCTAATAACCCTGAGCCTGTGCCCCCTTGTTGACCATTAACTCTTGTGGTGCGGGAATGTTAAACTCGAGCTTCAGTTATGGGACGCACCCCTCTGAGGCAGCAGTTCACTGCACTGTGGTGACATCCTTGGGGTGGAAAAACGTTTGAATCATTAACTGTAGATCTTTTGTGTTTTTAAACCATCAAGCGAGGGCACTGTGACATTAATAACATGATATCAGACACAGTTTCAGCCAACATCACAAATTACCAGGTATTTTCTAGCAGCAGATTAGCAGGAAGCTTGCGACAGTCTATCAGAACACAATCATACAGTCACAAATCCTTCACAATTACCGTGGTAATCATATTAATAGTTATTGACTGTTAAAAACTAACGTATCCATGCAGGGTAGCCCTTCACAGATGCACGAGGATTTAAAAATAGCAGACACCATTAACAATGCACAATAAATTCCAGTCTAAGCAGTAAAATTTTATTTCTCTAAAATATAGAGAGAGACTTTGATCGACAACGATCCTTTTGCAGTTTGCCAGTCTCTGTGCTTCTTAATCTTTAATATCACGACAATTAAAATTAATGACCACTCATAGAAGCCACTGTGGGCAGTGTTTCCTTGACATCAGTTGTTTGATGAGTTTACCTTGAGGTTAACTAACAAGCAAGGCTTTATTGGAAGCAAAGAAAGAAGCAGCAATCATCCTATAGTCTCAGCAATCAGCCTATATCTTCAGCTCCATGTCTACAAAAATCACCAGGATCCACACAGAAATGTAAAGGCTCTTTTCCAGATGCATCTCAAATCACAGAAAGAGCGAGAGAGGGGGAGGGAAAAAAAAAGGCCTTTTATCTAGGCTGGATTTGTCTGGAAGAATATGATAACTAGAAATCATGCGATCAATAAACTGTCAGCATGGAGGAAGCCCTATCAGCTTGCCTGTAACGGCTCATGTTTTTACTGCAGCTCCCAAGGTAATTGTAATATTATACTGATGTCTGCCCGTTTCGAGTTCAAAACATTCATCAGGCTGTGGCGTCAATGGTACTACATTTTTAAACCGTAAAAGCAGATAGTACCCAAAATTCCATTGGGCTGCATTTGATAGGAAGATGGATATGCAGTAACATTAAGGGCTTAGCCATGACCACAATGGCATGCCATTGTTATTTACTCTACTTTGGTGATTTTGTCAGATTTAGGATTGAAGCATTAGGTGTGTTACTGCATTAGGAATGGTTACACCATTTGTACAACAGCCTCTTATTGCCACAGCCATTCAGGTTACTCACTATCATTTGACTCTGTCGTCGTCAAATGCTTTTTCTAAAAAATATATTATGCGAATGCTCTGACTTTTTTTAAATGCTTGCCTTTTTAAAATTTAAATTGACTGTTGTAATGATTATAAATTATTAGTTAAGCAACGCATACAGTATTCCGATCATAAAATTAGAATTGAATATCATGATTTCAATTATTTGTTATGAACAAAGAAGCTTTTTAATAGGTGCAGCCATCTTTATTACAATTATAGTCCAGTAGGTTACAGCAGCGGGGAGGAGTTGGCTAAAATGTACCCTTTTGACAAGTCGTCAGGAGATTTCAGCCTGGGTTAAGTCAGACTTTAAAAGTAAAGGAATGATTTTAAAGATGCTTAAGCATTCAGTAACCCACACTCTTTCTAATCACAAGATAAGCTTGTTCACCTGGCAAGAAGAAATGGTTGTGGAGGAATTCACAGTGTTAAGATTTCCCCAGTCGTAACATTTCACAATAGTCCTCATTTTGAAAACACACCTGAGTTCACTCCAAACTTCACTCTAATTCCAGTTATTCATAGCTGGTTTCATTAAGTCAAAAAGCATTTCTCGTGTTAAAAAAAAGTGTTATTTTTACAATTACCTTTGATGCCTTTTAATAAAAGAAGGCACAGTCTTGGCTTTACTGTTCTAACCTCACCAACATATTCTTCTGCACATGACAGCAAAGTAGAACAGTTTTCCCGCCAAAGCTTTTAAAAATCTAATCTGTGTGGAACAAAAGGGCCTCTCTTTAAATACCACATCATGTTGTCAGGAACAAATGACTCCATCTTCAAGCAATAAAAATCTACAATGAATGTTTTGGATCAACCCCAGTACGTGAAACAAGTGACTGTGACAACCAAGTTGGCCACTAACAGAAGCTGGCCTGCTGGTTTTGAAGCCTCTGAGCGAAACATTCAACATTTGAGCCCGCTGTGTGCTCGTCCGCTGGATAAGCTGCAGGACATCCGACAGCATTTCTTTGAAAACCAAATAGTCTTGCAGGTAATTTGTCCCCTGTTTTCACTCCTCTGGAGGTAAAATGCGCATGTGCACAGCATGCTGCAATGCTGGTGAGACATCTACACTTTCGCTAGAGAATTCTCACATTTGTTGCCCCACTGATACCAAACAGTTTAAACAGTTGCTTTGCACTGTCAGGGCTTTCATCGCCTACAAGTAAAATGGCTCCATTTGTAGGTGACTGGCGTGAAAATTCAATGCCCCTCCCCCTGACCAGCAGGGACCTTTACACTGACTAGCATAATACATCCCCAGTGATGGGGGAGAGAAATCAGAGATGGGGGAAGAGGAGGAGAAGCTAATCAAAGAATGTTTTAAAAAACTGAACATGTTCAGGCACGTTGACCTGATGCCCAGCCAGTCTCTTCTGTAAGTGCAAATTACTGTATGTTCTGAACATTTATGTTTAGGCCCCTTGATGGCTCAGCTAACACAACCAACTCTTCAGGCTATACAGACCAGATAGGTGCCGGCAATGCGGTGTCAGCTGGTGATGGCAGTGGAGTGCTTCAACTGGACTATGGGCCCTGGGTTCAAGAGAAAAAAATCAGCCAGCGTTCTACCCCGATAGCTCTCCAGTGACTCTTGTGTACTGGTATCTCTGCTTCAAATTATGTCTTGTCCTTTAGTCAAAATATATTTTATAATGTGTTGTTTAAAGTTATCTGAGGGTTTTATTCCAATCTCCATCAGTAACAAGCACTATAAGCAATAGGAATGGTACACACACCACACGTTGTTGGTGTTCAGGAACAGTGTGAGGGCAGGCCTAAAGATGCTAACAATTCAGTGTTTGAAACAAAATGAGATGGGAAACTACAGTGGGAAAGCAGATACCCCATTCACACACCCAAGTAGAAACTATCCAGCCAGATGAGAAAGAACCATCTACATGTCAAAAACAAGGAAAAGAAAAGGCTAAACAGATTCCTCTGTAAACTTGAACTGCGGCACAGTTTGTGTTATTTCCTCGTGGTGCTTTTAGCAGCCTCATTGCCCTCTGCAGTATGAATATTCCTTATTCTTGACATCCTGCAGGACACTCATCAGCTCCTGTATCAAGCATCTCCCTCACAGGCAGACAGTCTATGGAACAGATGAGACAGTTTATCTCCAGCCAAAACAAAGCAAACACAATAGCTTGCTGCAACTCTTAATTTCTCTCTTGAACCCAGGCCATTCAGCCTAGCTTTTTGCAGAGATAATTTAACAAAGGCTTATTGACAACAAAAGGCACCTGGGGAGCCTCCTGCGATTCTGCTCTCAGAAAGACTGTTTGGACTTGGTTGCTGAGATGATATTGCATGCTTATTGATACGCATATATGCTTGCTTGTCAGGGTTGTTTTTTTTAAATTTTAAACAGCTTAATGGTTGGTTGGCATTTTCAGTATCTGAATAATCACAATAATAATCCTCGCAATAGATATTAGCGGCTTATTACGTCGTTGGAACTCTCAAAGAGCTTCACAGAATATACGGTAAAGTGCATTGACTGTATATTTTGTGGGCGAAACTCGGCAGCCAATTGCACTCAGCAGTGTCCCACAAACAGTCATAGACAGAGTGACCAAATTGTTATTATTATTATTTTTTGAAGGGATTATTAAACCTGGAAAAGCGATCTGCCAATCGATAAACAACCGGGTTCCTACTCTATGCTAGGTAAACAGTAAGGAAACTTGCCTAACGTTTCGCCCCGCCTGGGAATCGAACCCGGGTCCTCTCGCTTGCAAGGCGAGTGCTCTAACCACTACGCTACAGGACTCTACTCCATGTGAATGTTTCCGGAGTGATGCATATCTTTGCACGTTTCATTTATTAGTCATAACGTGATTTCCGTTTCTCCCCCATTAAGAAGCCAAGCTTTGCCACATTTCAGTTAACAATTTTTGAATCACACAATGCCTGTCTGTCCAATCAGTCCCATCACAAATAAAATGCATCAAGATAGGAGAAAAACAATTGTTTCCATGGCACTGGCCAGTTACACAGCCCTGACCAGATATTGTGCAATACCTGGGTAAGCTCTGACCTAATTCTCTGTGCTGCCCTCCTGCCACTACAATATAATTGTAACCGAGTTGCTCTGTTGTACTGCAGCTTCTCTGTGTGATTGCAGTATATAATGCTATAACCCTGTCTTTGGGAGCCATCCATAAGGCGCATTCTGGAGAAGGGCTTTTATGGTTTTCCCTATTAGTGAGGGAGCCATAAACAATATGTGTTATAGAGAGGGGCTTGCGAGTTTTCATTCTTAATGTTTATTGTTCTTCTCTAATGATCTGTCTGCACTCAGGGTTTTCATTAACCTGAACTGTTTGTTATTTTGTTGGAATGTCATGTTTATTTTACAAGATGGGTTTCGAAAGCTGAGAAACTCTTTGGTGCTTATCCATAGCAGGGGAGGTGCACAAATGTATGTAGGTTTGTGTGTATAAACAGCACAACCCCATTATTACAGCACTTCATTAGAATACCAATTCAGTTATAAAGGTTGTACTGCGGACTTAGGTATTATCAATAATATTCCTTGCATTTCATGTCAGGAGGACGTCTTAAAACTGCTTCACAGAATTTACTGTAAAATTTGCTGCACATGCACCCTGCTATTATATATATATATATTACATATGTGTTTTGCGTGTATATACTATGGGTGTATATACTTATGTGAGTGAGAGAGGAATGCCTGTGTGTGAGAGAGAATGTGTTGGTGTGAGCAGTGAGTGTACCATGGGTGATCTGTGGAAGTGATGTATCTGTGTGTAAAGTTGACCACCTGCTTGGAGATAAGTTTTGGCTCATTCATTTTAGGTGTACAGCAACTTTGCAAAGATCAGCAACATGCAGCTGAGAATAGAACTTTTAGCTTTAAGTCTGAAATCATTCACAACATATAACTCACTTTTCCACCCCACTGTTTAAACTAAGTTTCCCATGATTCGGTGTGTTTTGCAATCCTTGTTCCCTTTCCTAAAATATTCTCAGGAAGAAATACTCCAAAGGCACATGAAGAGGTTGGATGCGGCAATCGCTAAGCTAGTAATCCTTTCATTCTTTGTTCGGATTAGAATTTCTCATTATAAGAAGTAATAATTGTTTTCACTTTTCGTGATCGTCGGATTATAAACACTAATGTCTGAATTTGGATGGTATCATTAAACTACTTTTACACCAGTTACTGTTCCACCAAGTCTGTGCTTCCACCACCATTAATTCTTGAAGGGAGGTGAACAACAAAATGTTATTGTTTGTGGTTATTGATTGAATTTGATTTCTTGCTGAAATACTTCTAAAACCATCTCCAGTTTACAGCACAGTCAATTCCACCTACGTGAATAATTGGTAAGTTATAGCAACACAAGACACACCAGTTAATGGGCACCTTCTTAATAGGAATATTCATTTCCAGGGAACATTTCCTTTGACACCAAATCATTCTCCTGACGTCAGCAGCATTTGCTTAATGGGATCGTTTGCTTTCAGGAAACATTGGCTGCCATTAGCAGGCTTGTGCTGCATTTTGATAGAAAAAATCAAATTTGAAAAAAAATCTTTGCAAACAGAAGTATATCAAGCGCCCACACACGCTGCCACTTCAACATACAATTCCATTAAGCAAATACACGTGATTAATGAATAGAATGTAATAGCAATGGGCTCTTCACGTTGAAAGTGAGCCTTTTGCAGGTGACCTCTCACAAACCTCGGGTGAAACAATAGGAATAATCTAAATTAATTAGCAGACCTCAAGCCAGGTTGTAATTATGTGGCTGAAAGTTCCTCTGGAGGTTAAGTTGATCATTACGTCAAAAATAGAACAGAATCCATGAATTGTTAATCCATTTAACCCTCAGCCACATTGCTTTAAATATATTATGAGCTGCGATACTGATAGGCAGGAATCATCAGCGTCGCCCGGGATCAGTGTTTGTGCCACCTTAACCAACGCAGTCCATCATTGTGAGGTTAGGAGCATACCCAACGCCCCTGACACCCAGCGAGCACCTTGATAGGTATAAATAGAGGTGACGCCATGGGCAGCCGTAAAATATGATTTATACTTCCACAGCGAGGCTGACGGGAGCGGCAAAGTCGCAGGTGAGTTATGGCCAGTCTCAAAAGTGAAAATACAAATCACACTTCCGAGCTGCCCATGAAATAGTCGATTCATACTGATTCACACATTTAACGGATTATATTAAAAACTGTTTTAGTAGGTTTCATAAATATTATTTTCATGGTAAGCATTTTGGCAGGAACAGACCTAGGATCCTGTGCCTTACTCAGGTCTCCTCACACCTCACCACTTGGAGGGGGATGACCACCATTTTGAAAGAAACAGATTGTCTGCTAAAATTAACCGTTAGTCACAATATGGAAATAAAGCATGTGTTGACTAAATTTCTACAGCACTGGCAATAAGTACAGCACTATTCTGTACAGTAGGTTATGTGTAAACCAGATGTAAACCCAGCTGTATTAAGGCCACATGTAGACATAGCTGTGTGAGGTGCCATGCAGAGGGATTTCCAGGTGCCCTTAATTATGTCATAAACAAATCAATAATTAGCTGTTAGTCAATTAATACGTTTCAGTTATTGTTAATTACGTAATTATGGGCACCTGTAATTCCCTCTGTACATATGCACCAACACATGGCGTATAATACAGCTGTGTTTACACATGGTTTACACATGGTGCATACTAGACCTAATTGTTCATTAAACAGCACAATTGCATTCTGCTGTAAGGAAGTGAACTACGTGGGTGAATTATTTCTCGCAGTGCCCAACAATGCACTTACAACAATTCTAAATATTACAAGGAACGCATTGACTCACTGCTGCAACAAGCTGTATTTGGGCCTTAACTGGTCTATCTCATACAGGAGGCTGCCACACATACCACACATGAACAGAGGACCTTAGAGGCGAAATCAAAACGGTTTTGATCCCAATAGCTGAATAATTATGACCTAATAAGTAACACAGTGTTGTTTAAAGAACAAGATTTGTTTTTATACATATATAAAAATGTACAGGAGTCCTGTAGCTCAGTGGTTAGAGCACTTGTCTCGCAAGCGAAAGACCTGGGTTCGATTTCCGGCAGGACGAAACCTTGATAATCCCTCAAGAAAAAAAAATCAGTAATAAATTGGTCACTTCAATCCATGACTGTTTGTGGGACACTGCTGCTGCGTTTTGCCCACAAAATATACAGTCAGTAGATTATGTGAAGTGCTTTGAAACGTCTAGAAGACTTGATAAGGCACTATATCAAATGCAAGGATTATTATTATTTATTATTATAGATATATATATTCCCAGACAAAAAAATCTCCAGACATCAATCAGAATGCCAGAATTGCACGTTTAGAAACAAGACACCTTACTGACTGACCTGTGATACTGTGATACTGCACTTCTTTGCCAGCTCCTCTTTGGCTTCTTCGCTGGGATATGGATTGCTGAGGTGAGAGTAGAAATACTCGTTCAAAATTTCCGTCGCTTGTTTGCTAAAGTTGCGTCGTTTCCGTCTGAAAACACAACAGAGATCCTAGTTTTAACATCTCGTGAGAACACATCTGATAAATGCAGACTAGACTGCAGGAGTGAGCTTTGTTGATTACAGTGCCCTATAGGAGCCTCTGTGTAGCACATATATACGGTGCGTATCATAATCAATGAGGCTTTGAGGTCAGAAGCTGCATGGGGTGAAGACTACAATCCTGTCAGCAGCTTCTCTCTGGGACACTTCACTCCCTGTGACTACAGAGGCCGGTTGCCTGCCGAGACGTTTGTTCTGGTGAACTTCAGGATTCGTTCCTCCTGTGCCTCGGGGGGAGGTCGGATGGAGGGTACCTTTGTTTATGCCACCATTCAGAACACTGCATCATCTCCACATTGTACTGTCCCTTTGGTTTTTCTACAATGAATGCTCACTCCAGCATAACACCGATCTCCCTGGAGTAACATTTATCTCTCTATTGTACATCCTCTCTTATTGCCTTGTTTACGTTCTCTCTCTCTGTTGAATAAATCATTTTAAAAATGCACATCTGCTCAATTTAACTTGTCTGAAGTTGCCCATATTCTCTGAAGGCACCTTCTAACTGATTTTAATTATTAGAATTTTCCACACCTGCTGAAGACCCGGAAACTGGTGAGATTACTTCAGCTAACTGTCTACAGGTGTGAGGTGAGCCACGCTGAGAGGCGGAGGAAGAAATCAGAAGAGCTCCTGCTCTACATCAGTGTGATACAGAGACACAGGCTATCAAAGGCAGCTACCAGTTTCTCTGCTTTTGCAATCCACCATTCCAAGCAGTGAAGAGGGGGCAGTTGCCTTCAAAAGCCTGAATTGTTATGAGATCATTGGGTTTCTCTTGTTGCCAGCTGCTGTCCACCAACAACAAACAGGGCCATGATCTCCCCATCTGCACAATCTCAACTTCAGGTGATTTACTGGTCTCTAAATAAAACCTTTCTCCAAAAAATAAATTCTAATATGGAACAGCTTTTGGAAATCCTGTCAAGTAACTCACAATGTGACGGAAATTTTAAAAATGTAGCATAATCTCAGATCTGAAACTGTTTATGAAGTGGTTCACTTTGAAGCATTAAACATTGAAATGCAATTATAAATTATGCTACAGGTGACTGACCAGGAATGTGAATGGGGGACACAGTACACAGGCAACACACAGAAAACAGCCTGCACTGTGTCCCAATCCAGGTAACTCAATGCTCTATAAGTAGCGGATTTAGTTTTTCCTATTTTACATCACATTATTTTAAAAAGTTATAATTTATAATACTATTCTGGAGTTCCTTCTCACTGAAGAAAAGAAGACTTATATTGACATTTTCAAGTTACTAAAGAGTAGCAACTATTTAATAGTCAAAACTCTATTCGTGGAGGCAGATTGATGAGAAATTCAAGAGAAATCTGGATAGTTATTCTAAAAATAAATTTATTTTTCTCATGGGGAAGATATAATAATAATAATCCTTGCACTTGATATAGCTAGTGACTTAACATGTCGATGAGATGTTTCAAAGCGTTTCACAGAATATACTGTAAAAAAATAGTGATTGTATTTTGTGGGCGAAACGCAGCAGCCAATTGCGCACATTAACTTCCCACAAACAGTCGTGGATTGAGTGACTAAATTATTACTATTTGTAATATTTAAATTATTTCCAGCAATGATTATGAGAGCTAGTTACTTCAAAGCATGGTCATTGTTCAGCCAATCTTAGCCAGCTACATCCCCTGAAGAGCAATGAGAAGAATTACAAAATTTAATCAGATTTTTATGGTTAATTTGAATGAGGAGGGAATATTGGCCAATACACAGGAAGATCTATCTGCTCTTCTTCAAAATAGTGGTTATTAAAATCTTTTAACATCCAGATGAAACAGCAGAACACCCATTCCAAAGTCATGTTGCCAAGGACTGTAAATTTATGGACCTGAGGAGAATATGATGTTCTCACCCGCCAAGCTCTCTAAATTTACAGACGTCTGTGGAATTAACCCCAAATGAGCACAATGAGAAAACGCCTTGTACCAAGTTTGGAGAGAATCCAAAAAGTCTTTTTACTGAGACAGCATCTTTATTCTGCAAGACACAAATCTTTACTGATGCACTGAAGCTTCCCACAAAGCCCATTTTCAATAGGAACCTACAGGCTTATGAGTGGAGTTCATTTATCATGGTTGGTGAAAAATCCAATCATTTTTAATGGGGTAATGTTGGCCTGCACACCGCATTACCAGGTTTGTAAACAGAGGTGTGGAATCATACAATAACATCAGACTGGCACTCACGAAATCTGTGCAGAAAAATTTTGATCTCAGTGGCTTATACAGCAGGAAATTTCACATCTAACGTTGTGCAATTTCTCCCGGTGGTAAATATGGCTGCTTGGAAGAAGAGTCTTTCGAGAAGGCAGTTTCAGGAACTGCGGTCTCCTGCAAACTACAACAATGTGAGAGTGTGACAATGCCTCATTAGGTGATCGAGGTTTCACATCACACGGGACACACAGGCCATTTCCCATTGTCAGAAATCCCCGGTCTCTGATGAGAGGACATCCATCACCAAACCCTTGGACACACTAGAGAGCTCTTGTTATTTGTCAAATATAAAACTATTTCTCATCCACAGGCATAATAGGGAAACTTTCATTCTCTTTCACCAATCGTCACTATTAAATGAACGTTAACTGTTCAATATATTACCTACAACTGAAATGCTTTAGCAGCCATTAATATCATCACAGTTCCTTAAAATTAAAATTCTATCTCAAAATAAACACACACAAGGGATCCCGAGATTCCTGGGCTGTAGAGATTGAAAATATCTGATCAGATATCTGTGCTCTGAGACGCTACCTTGCGCTATATTAAGTGTAAATTGTTGTTGTTGTTGGGTAACCTGTCAAAACGTCTCAGTGCACATCACGCAAGTTACTTGAAGTGTAGTATAGCGACTGCTATTCAGATAAATTGCAAATCATTTCACTTTCTTTTGTCTCAGAAGACAAGGGCTCTGCTTCTGAAAATTGTGCCATTGAGAAATGTTCTGTAACTGTGCCATTCTCCTTAGATCGGTAGATAAGTGCTACCTCCTCTGAGTAGGCACAAGTGCAAAAGTTAAAAATAGCGAGTGAAAGAGTGATTGCAAAGTTAAAGGTTCAAACACAAACTCGTTTTAACAAGAATGACTGGTACCTGGCGTCCAGAAATCGTGATCGCAGGATCATGACTGCTTCGCACGTGCTCTGCTTCAGCTGCATTTGGATGGAACTGAATTTTCGATGGATAATGCTGACCATCCTCTCAATCTCTTTTGGTGAAATTGGGCGTGTCCGGCTCTGCTCCCGTAGGAGGTTCATCACGTGTGTGGTGAACTCATTACATGCCTGCAACAATAAGAGTGAATAAACGGGTTAAATACACACTCAAGTCATTTCATTGCAACTCCTCTGCTATAAAGGACTAGATAATAGCTATAACTGCTGTGTGCAATTGGCTGCTGCGTTTCGCCCACAAAATATGCAGTCAATTCACTTTACAGTGTGTTCTGTGAAGCGCTTTGGGACGTCCTCCCGACGTGAAAAGCGCTATTTCAAATGCAAGGATTATTATATCAAATGCAAGGATTATTATTATTTTAAGTGTTACTCCGTGCTGCTTCTGACTAACAAAGAGAATAAAATAGAGGCTGTGGTTTCTGGAATGGGATTGTGGTGTGCTGGTAATATCGTTATTCGAAATCTACTCACACAGTGAGCAAAGCCCTCTTTTCAAGCAACTATCTTCCCTTTTGAAAGAATGTATGGACTCTGCTTTGTACACAATTTACAATGGTGGGGGGGGGGTGTTGTTTGCCATACATTGAATCCACTAATTCTACACATATTCACATAAACTACCAGCTATATTTGAACAGAATTGTTTGAAAGGGAACTGGAGCCTTATAATCTATCAGTGTGCTGTAAGAGGCAGAGCTTCCCCCTAGAGTGCTCTGGGCAGCATCAAAATGAAGATAATTTCACTTCATATAAACCGGCACCCGAGAATGAAAATGCAAAGATGAGGACAGGAATAACCAACACAATTTTTCTACATTCCTTCTGGCGGTGCAATACCATTGAGTACTGAAAGCTAGTACTGTAGAAGCTTGAGCAACCTGAAAGCTGGTAAACTGCATGCCTGTTATAGATACAGCCAATTCAGTGCAACTTTTATATGGAATATACGCAAAAGAGAAGTATATATAAAGTGTATTGTAGCCCAAAAATTAAATTCATATCAGCTCAGGGCAACCAAGGTATTTGTTGGGGCACTAAATTTTTAACATCAACTGGGTCATGCTACCAAGATGGAACATTCCCTACAACAACCTCCAAGGGCAAAAAGGTGCTGAAAGAATCCTGTTCCTCCCTGAGGTGTGCTAGTGAGAATAGGGCTCAGTGAACACATACAATCATGTCACTTTAACAGTCGATTGGTGGATCGCTCTCCGGGGTAATAACCCCTTAAAAAAAAATTGGGTCACTCAATCTACAACTGTTTGTGGAATATTGCTGAGTGCAATTGGCTGCCATGTTTCACCCACAAAATATATAGAATATTCTGTGAAAGCTTTGAAACGTCTCAAAAACACGATAAAGTGCTATATCAAAAGCAAGCATTATTATTATATTATTATTATTGATGTAAAACCCTACCTTTCTAAAAACAAATTTACACACAAGCTAATGTATGAAGTTGATTCTGATATTAATGGTTCTGTAGTAACATTGCTCTGGTCACAGCAGAACAAGCTCAGTTTGCTGTTTGCATACAAAGAATTGTGAGAAAGTAGTTTGCACTGGCCCAGAAGATCAGAAATGCAATATTTCAGATCAAGATGTTTGAAAATGAGATAGGATAGGTAAGAGGCAAGTAAGGATATGGAGAAAAAGCAGGGAAACAAGATTAAAAAGATAGAGAGCTGCCTTGACCTAATAAAGTAGCGGAGTGGGCTCAATGAACCGAGTGGCCTACTCTGTGCTTATATTTGGGAGCTCTTTCGCAACTGCCAATGGGTTTACATTTTATTTCTAAAAAGAATGAAATTCTCCTCCCCCTTAAGCTTTTAATAGTCACCAAGGAGGCGCTAAACTGGTAAGTGATGTACTGCTGTACTGGCCGAGATAGGAGCAAGAGAGCTTGGATTAGTTAACATCTATTTTTCTGTCCTTGCTGACTTTGCTACAGTTTATAAAAACAAGAGAATTAAGTCTGAAGTTGCACCTGGTGAGTTTGGAAATCTACTGGCATTTTTAATTTCCAGCTACCAAAATAAAACAAGAGTTGAATTTCATTTTCATTCAATTTTAACAATAAATACAGTGTCCTTCACGTGTGTAGCATCTCAACAGTGGTGGAGCTTGATGCTGAGCCAGGAGAATGAGAAAAGAATGGTCATAAGATCATAAGAATGGTCGAAGAGGAAGGTCTTCAGATCTGATCTGAAGACGGGCAAGGAGGGGGCCAGGTGGAGAGACTGAGGCAACAACAACAAAATTACATTTATAGAGCGCCTTTCATGTCGGGAGGACGTCCCAAAGCCCTGAACAGTCAGGTGTTGGGGCCCGAGCATGGGGGAGGGGTGGTGTAGGGGTGAGGGAAGGCAGAGAGGTGGGAAGGCGACCAAAGACACGGTCGAAGAGAAGAGGCAGCAAGTGCCAAAGCTTCAGGGCGTACTCACTGAAGGTATGGCTGCTGTCAGTGGAGTGGAGAAGATCAGTGAGGTGTAAAAGGCCGGAGCCAGTTGAATGAAGAGGGTGGGTAGTGGAGTGGGGTGAAAGCAAGTCAGAGAGGTACAGAGGTGCTATGGCATAAATTGATTTGTAAGAAAATGTGAGGATCTTGAAATCAATCCCAGTTCTTACTATAAACAGAGAGGGAGTTGGGGGGGTTGGGGGGGGGAAAGACTAATTTGGAAAGCACAGCAATTAAGATCAGAGTAACTGGCATATGAGATTTCCATTGGATAGCCGATCACCCAGAACAATGAATATTTACAGTGGTGAGAAAGACGAGACATAGGCAAGACAATTATTCCAGGCATAAGAGAATGGGCTTCCCAAACAATAGAGGCACTCGTCATTTAAAACTGCAGACGTAGGAAGAGATTACACAGAACAGAAATCTAACACAATTTTCATGGGGGTTACTCAAATTTCAGAAAAGTTCTATTACATTAGCTCATCTAGGAATGCAAACTGTGATTTGCTCTTTGGCATTTCACCAACATTCACAGGCGCATATAGCACTCCTTCAAACCAGCAATTCATGTATGATTAATTAGAATATCTCATTTATACAGTGCGCACTTTAGCTCATTACGCTAAGTAAAATTTGTTAAGTATTTACATTTAGATAATTAAAGTCTGGATACACCCTTAAGAAACATGTATGCACTTCGGGCGAAAGCTTTTCCAGAGTACTTATAGTAAATTACCAGTTTAAATTACATCACTGCCTGCCTCAATATGGTCTCACCGACACTACATTTTGTACCAAGGAGGAGTGTCTTTAAAGCGCCAGCCCTTTTGACTTAGTTTCTTCTGAGGATTTCTACAGATTTAGCAGACATGAATTTATTACTCACCAACACTGCCCCACACGTCTCAAGACATAACACCTTCTTTCCTACAGCATCAGCTCTCTATCTGGTTATGGCCCTGAGTGAAAACCTTCCATAGCAAGATGAGTAACACTGAGTCACATTTCACTTAAAAAGTCACCCACTGACAGCAACCCTGGCCTTGGTAGTTGTGCTGCCTCCGTAGAGTCACAGTGTTGTCAAGGGCACATTCATAGGCTGTGTAGCTACAACAATTTAGACTACTTTCAGAGGCTGTGCCGGCCAGCAGCAGACTAACAAGGTTTCACTTGCTGGCCTCAGCCATTCGGATGCTAGTTATCTATCTATTGTCCTGCGAACCTTGTTATGCAATAATGAATAACCTTAAGCAAGTTTCCTTACTCCACACCTTTGTTTACCTAGCAGTAAATAGGAACCTGGTTGTTAGTCGATTAGGGTAATAATCCCTAAAACAAAATGGTTACTCAATCCACGACTGTTCGTGGGACACTACCAATTGAACACTGGTGTGCGTAATTTGCTGCCGCGTCTCACCCACAAAACACAGTCATTCCACTTTATATTCTGTATAGTGCTTTGAGATATCAAAGGCGTGATAAGGCGCTATATCAAATGCAAGGAGTATTGTTATTATTTTAAGCACCAAACCCTCAAGCAAGATTGTGGTACCACTTCTTGAAGTGCTTCTGCATTATTAATGCAGCATTCGGCGTGGAGTCAACCCACCCTGCTCTCATGCACGGCTTAGCAACTGCTTTAAGAGAAACAAGGTAGAACTCTCTGGATAACTCAGGGAGTAAATACACCAGCTGTTGTGGTTCTGAGCCATACAAATCAGGAAGGTCCCAGGTTGAATCCCTCCTCTGCTGCGAGGTGGCTGATCTCATTTGGAGTGGCAGAAAGTATTTTACCACTGCTCTCAGGGCCCCAGGCTACAACAGGCAAAAATACAGGGAGGCGGCCCACTCCCGATTGGTAGTCAGTCACCCCTGCTGGAAAGAGCATGTGTGCACACACTGGGCATGGATAGGACCAAACCCAGCTGTGATGTCTCACACTGTCAAATAGCTTGACGAAGCTCACACACATGAAACAGAGCAAGCTACATGAGGTGACAGAGAGCTACCCACAATCACAGTGCTGAGCTCCAAAGCTTCCAGAGAGAAAATTGCGGGAGCAAGAGAGAGAAAAGAACAAAACAGTCTCAGTTTTTGAAATGGTTCATCTGCTCGCTCACTCTATTAACAAGCTGTGTGACAAGGAACAGCTGACCCTACGTGCTGGCAGTTACTCAAGAAACAGTAATAGGGGGAGAAAATAAATCAGCAAAAGCACACCGATTCAATTGCTCTCAAATTGACGAACTAAATTATGAAAAAGAGCTACATGTTGGTTTTTTAAAAAAATGCTTGGAAAAATCTCAAGAAACCACTTGCACCTTAAACAGTTCCTATGTCCCTTCTCATCTTTCTCTAAATATATTTCATCAAGTACAAAGTTAGCTCGTAAAACACATCAACTCCTCATTTCGCTCTCATGATGTGCTGTTTCTTTTTAAAGCATGAGCTCACAATTCACCAACGTTCAGCAACCGGAAAATAATGCCCATTTCTTTTGACCATATTTCTATTTAAATTATACATACACTTATGGTGAAGAAGGAGTACTTGGACCCACTTCAGCTGCCATGATGCAATTGGCAACAGGGCAAGGTTGAGGTGCAGAGCATTTCACAATTATACATGTACAACCCTATTGGTTTCTTTC